TACAGGCGTGAGCCACCGCGCCCAAAGTGCTGGGATTACAGGCGTGAGCCACCGCGCCCAAAGTGCTGGGATTACAGGCGTGAGCCACCGCGCCCGGCCCCTTGGTAGTTCTATTTCTGGTTCTTTGAGAAATAAATCTCCAAACTCCTTTCCACAGGAGCTGAACTAACTTACATTCCCACCAACAGTATGTAAGTGTTCATTTCACCACAGCCCTGTCAACATCTAATTATTTTTGGCTTTCTAGTAAAAGCCATTGACTGGTGTGAGAAGGTATCTCATTGTGGTTTTTATTTGCATTTCTCTGATGATTACTGATGTTGAGCACTTTTTCATGTTCATTGGCTGCCTGTATATCTTCTTTTGCAAAGTACCTGTTATATCCTTTGCCCACTTTTTAATAGAGTTGTGTATTACAGTGTATATATCTATATCTACATTTCTATCTCCTAGTACAGGATACAAATATATATCCTGTAAAGGACATATATGTTAAAGGATATAAATATATATCCTAGGAGATATATATATATATACATACACATATATACACACACACACCCTAACACACACACACAGACACACAAACACACATATACATATAACGGGGAATTTATGAAGGAGTATTAACTCGTGATTAACTGTCTGCAAGCTCAGGAGCAAGGAAGCCAGTCCGAATCCCAAAGCCGAAGAACTTGGAGTCCGATGTTTGAGGGCAGGAAGCATCCAGCCAGAGAGAAAGGTGTAGGCTGGGAGGCTCGGCCAGTCTAGTCTCGTGTTTTTCTGCTTGTTTTATATTCTAGCTGCGCTGGCAGCTGATTAGCTGGTGCCCACCCAGACTGAAGGTGGGTCTGCCCTCCCCAGCCCACTGACTCAAATGCTCGTCTCCTTTGGCCACACCCTCACAGACACACCCAGGACCAATACTTTGCATCCTCCAATCCAATCAAGTTGACAATCTTAACTATCATAGGTTGTTTGTGTTTGACTTCTTAAGTTCCTTATAGATTTTGGATATTAGATTTTTGTTAGAGGCATAGTTTGTGAATATTTTCTCCCTTTCTGCAGGCTGTTTACTCTGGTAGCTTCTCTTGCTGTGCAGAAGCGCTTTAGTGTAATTGGGTCCCACTTGTCAGTTTTTGTTTTTGTTGCAATAGCTTTGAAGGACTTAAGGCCAGCGTCAAGAAGGGTATTTCCTAGCTGTTGTAGGATTTCTATAGTTTTGAGGTGTTCCATTTGAGTGTTTAATCTATCTTGAGTTGGTCTTTTTATACGGTGATGGGATCCAGTTTCATTCTTCTGCACATGGATAGTCAGTTATCTTAGTACCATTTATTGACCAACAATTGTGAGTCCTTTCCCCATTCCTATTTTTTTGAGACAGGTTCTTGCTCTGTCTCCCAGGCTGGAGTGCAGTGGCACAACCATGGCTCACTACAGCCTCAACCTCCTGGCTCAGGTGATCCTCCTGCCTCAGCCTCCCTAGTAGCTGGAACTGCAGGTGCCTGCAACCATACTCAACTATTTTTTTTGTATTTTTTTTTTGGTGGTGGGGGGATGGAGACGGGGTCTTGCCATGTTGCCTAGGCCAGTGTCAAACTCCTGGGCTCAGGCAGTCCTCTGCCTGTGCCTTCCAAGGTTCTGGGATTACAGGTGTAAGCCACCATACCCAGCCTCCATTGCTAATTTTTGTCAAGTTTGTTGACGATCAAGTGGTTATAGGTGTGTGGCTTTATTTCTGGGTTATCTATTTTGTTCAATTGGTCTATATGTTTTGAAATTTACATTTTAAACAGGTGAATTTTATGATATACAACATATGGTTTATATAAATAATATGTAAACCATATGTGTACATGTGAGTGGTTAACTGGAGCTGGGAGTTTCTGTAAAACTCAGATTTTTCCATGATGTTGTAATGGATGATGTTGTATATCATATAATACATATATCTCGGAGTTTACAGAAAAGAAGATTAACCTAGGCTAGGCATGGTGGCTCATGCCTGTAATCTCAGCACTTTGGGAGGCTGAGGCAGGCAGATTGCTTGGGCTCAGGAGTTCGAGACCAACCTGGGCAAAAAAGTGACACTACGGTGCTCGCTTCAGCAGCACATATACTAAAATTGGAACGATACAGAGATTAGCATGGCCCCTGCACAAGGATGACACACAAATTCATGAAGCGTTCCATATTTTTTATTAAAAAAAAAAAAAAGTGACACTACGAAAAAAAATACAAAATTAAGCCAGATGTGGTGGTGCACACCTGTAGACCCAGCTACTCTGGAGGCTGCGGCAGGAGGATGGCGTGAGCCCAGGAGGCAGAGGTTGCATTGAGCTGAGACTGCACCACTAGACTCCATCCAGATAGAGTGAGACCCTGTCTCAAAAAAAAAAAAAAAAAACCCACAAAAAAACCAACAACCTGGTGGTAAGCTGCTTTTAAAATTTTAATTGTAACTCATCTCTGTGGTTGTTTCAGCTTCCTAAATAATTGCATTTCAGGTCAGGCACAGTGGCTCACAGCTATAATCCCAGCACTTTGGGAGGCCAAGGAGGATGGATCACCTGAGGTCAGGAGCTCGAGGCCAGCCTGGCCAACATGGTGAACCCCGTCTCTACTAAAAATTAGGAGAATCACTTAAACCAGGGAGGCAGAGGTTGCAGTGAGACGAGATCACACCACTGAATTCCAGCCAGGGGGACAGAGTGAGACTCTATCTCAAAAAAAAAAATTGCATTTTAAAAGAAAGTGGCCATCTAGCCCAGCTCGAGACCAATGGCAGATACACAGGAAACATTCATGTCTTTGGTCTCCACTCTCAGATGTGATGCCTCGAGCAGCCATTCAGTATGGCAGGATGCTGACCCGCCACACCTGCCACCCCGTCTACATCCTGAAAGGAGGCTATGAGCGTTTCTCAGGCATGTACCACTTCCTCCGGACCCAGAAGATCATCTGGATGCCTCAGGTAGGGCAAAATGCTGAGCAGAGGCAGGCCCAGATGGGAAGGATGGGCCTGGAAACTGACTAGCAGGTGACCGAGTAGGAGAAACAGGAGAATGGGGCAGAGGATGTAGAGAAAGTGGATGGGATGGGGGAGACTGGGCTGCAGAAATGAATGTGGGGCTGCCAGGAGTCCAGGTCCAGTTTTTGGTTTTTATTTATTTATTTATTTTGAGACAGAGTCTCACTCTGTTGCCCAGGCTAGAGTACAGTGGCGTAATCTTGGCTCCCCACAACCTCCGCCTCCCGGGTTCATGCAATTCTCCTGCCTCAGCCTCCTGAGTAGCTGGGACTACAGGTGTGCACCCCCATGCCTGGCTATTTTTTGTATTTTTAGTAGAGACAGGGTTTCATCGTGTTACCCAGACTGGTCTTAAACTCCGGACTTTAAGTGATCCACCCACCTTGGCCTCCCAGAGTGCTGCAATTAAGGTGTGAGCTACTGTGCCCGGCCCCAGTTCTTTATGAGGAATTGATCACTGTGCAGTTGAAACAGTGGAGCCTGTTCAGAGGGCAGGCTTCCCCCAGGGAGATCTGGATGGTGAACCGATACCAAGGTCAGATAGTCAGGGGCATGTCGGCTGGAGACCACCTCTTTTTTCTTGGCTGTCTGGTTCCACAAATCCTAACTGGATCCAGAGGATACAAAAATACAGAAATGTGGGAAGGATTGATCAGGCTCATGGCTCACGCCTGTACCCCTAGCACTTTGGGAGGCCAAGGCAAGTGGATTGCTTGAGCTCAGGACTTTTGAGACCAGCCTGAGCAACATGGTGAGACCTCGTCTCTACAAAAAATTTAAAAAATGAAGCTCGGTGTGATGGCTTATACCTATAAACCCATCACTTTGGGAGGCCGAGTTGGTTGGATCATTTGAGCTCAGGAGTTTGAGACTAGACGGAGCAACATGGCAAAACCCTGTCTCTACCAAAAATACAAAAATTCACTGGGTGTGGTGGCCCACTTGTAGTCCCAGCTACTCAGGAGGCTGAGGCAGGAGAATCACTGGAACCCAGAAGGCAGAGGTTGCTGTGAGCCGAGATCTTGCCACTGCTCTCCAGCATGGTTGACAGAGCAAGACCCTGTCTCCAAAAAAAAAGAAAATCAGCCAGGCATGGTGACTCACACCTGTAGTCCTAGCACTCTGGGAGGCCAAGGCAAGAGGATTGCTTGATATCAGGAGTTCAAGACCAGCCTGGGGGATATAGTGGGACCCCATCTCTATTATAATTTTTTTTTTTTATGCAGAGACAGGGTTTCACCATGTTGGTCAGGCTGGTCTCCAACTCCTGACCTCAAGTGATCCACCCACCTTGGCCTTCGAGAGTGCTGGGATTACAGGCGTGAGCCACCTCACTCAGCCTATTATAGATTTTTTATGCAAAAGGAGAATCATATATGAAACCCCTCTGTCCATCGCCTAGCTCCAAACATTATCAACTCCTGGTCAGCTCTGTTATAACAAAACAATTTTGAGATACCAGTTCCTGCTGGTGAGTTGCTGCATCTGTGGGGAAGGCAGTGGTTGGGCAAGGGACACCCCAGACGTCTGGAGCCCAGAGAAGGGACACTTTAGCTTTCCAGAGCCAAAGCTGGAGGAGGAGGAGCTTTGGAGGAAGAGAACTGGGTGGAGCTGTCTAAGGCTGGCACCAGACTGTGATTGGCAGGTAGGGCTCAGTCCCTGGAGGGTACCGTGTACAGATGTCTGGTTGATTGAAGTCTGAACACAATGGA